CTGTTGTTACCAACCATAACATAATAAATTAAATTAGGCAACCACATTAGCTTAAAGGTTATTATAAATTATTTTTAGACTTTGGAATTTAGAAAAAAAAGTTTCAGGTGCTTCCTTATGGACCCTAAGGAACAACCCATTTTAATATATAACATTAATTACATAACACCCTGTATTTATTACCGGAAATGTCATAAAGAACTTCTAGGAAGGTATTCCAAAAAGCAATAGAGGAACAGAAAAGGCTCAGGCTCAAGAATGCCTTGATGTAGCTAAGAAAAGTTGAATTTTGAATCGTTCATTAAAGGCATTGTATTTGATACAACAGCAAATAATACTGGTTGTCACACTCGAGCCTTGAACAATTTCTTGAACATGAACTTGTCTCGATTGATGTCATGGAGCTACTGATGGTCCAGAAGCTGAACCATTTAACCGCTTTCAGAAATCGTAACCAACTATTGATCAAACTGCAGCTGATATTGGCATGTTTCAGAATCCTTCATTTAATTGTTTGAGAAAATAATTACCGACTAGACAAAAAAGCAAACAAGAGACGATTATAAGAAAGTTTTGAGCTTGATCTATGTTTATTGGTGAATAAATTGCCCTCCTGGCTCAAACATAATGCTTGATGAAAGTTAAAAGCCCTAAAGATATACCTTTTCCGAAATCCGCTTAAAAATTTAAGAGACAACTAATTTCAAATATTTATCTTTATTTGCTTTGTGTGAAATATTGGAATGATGCTTCACTTGGAAATAGAGCTCCCTATAATTAAATTTAGCTTTTAGGCGTCCTAAAAAGATATCCTAGCATTTCTGGTTTCTTCCGCTCTGTTTGAAAAAAGATATGCAGACTTAGCAGACTTTGCATTTTAGACGTCTACAAAAACTAAATAAATAATGGTAAAAACCCTAAAGCGTCCACATCGCATTAATTATACTAGAGAAAATGATCTTACAATAGACTGAATATTATATAGTATACTAAAAGAACATGCTTTTTCTTAAATGTTATTATCATTAAAAGGAAATTTAACCACCGCCTTCCGTGGTGCAGTAGTCAGTGCTGCGAACTACAATTCAAGTGGTGGTGGGTTCGAATCCCACATAGGTATGGCTGTTTATTTGTGTTTGTGCAGGGTTAAGTGGTAGAACAACTTATGCTGAAAGCCCTTTGATCATTAATTAGTAAATTTAAAAAAAAGTAAAGAATTCTTGAAAGTACCACCTCAGAATTGGCCATGGATGAAAATTGTTAATGATACTTCCGAACGGGAAACCAATCTTATTTAAAAATACATCCATTCATTGACCATTGGTTAGTGACCAAGGGCGAAAAACAAATGCAGTATATTCTTCGCTTAGTCGCAAATTACCGAATACAGTTTCCTAAGCCATAAAAAGCATCTCTTATGTCGTAGTTTTTGTTTTTAGTTTTTATATTATTGATTCTCCTAATCTATGTATGCTTAATGGGTTTGAGGCGTGATGTTGAAAATCAGTGTGAAACTACTTCTATTATAAAGATGAGTCAATAAAATAAATAAATATCGTTGAAGCAAATCATATTTTTATGAATGTTTTCTTAAAAAAACTTTTAAAATTAATAATAAATAAATATAAATTATTGGTATTATAAATATAATATTGATAGGTATAACAGGCCTGTCAAGATTTAATAAATAAAAATTCCGATCATAAATACTTTACCTAGAAACACATATTGGATTCATTCGTAAGTATTGACACATTATGTTACAACATGATGTCGTCATGGTTATAAAAGCGTTTCGAATTTGCCTTTTTCAAAACGCTGTAGCGTTATCAAAAATTGTTTGAGAAACGTAGGAAAACCATTTTTAATAACAAACTCGTACGGAATAAAATAATGAAACTTTACTAGGGGCGATTTAAAAAAAAAGTGTACTACTCATAAAATAAAAATATTTAAAACTTTTATTTTTGAACCACTTGTAGGCATTGTATTGATATTTTGTATATTTATTAAATATGTGAGTAGTATCTAATAACTAAATTAATGGGCATTTTTTATTTATTTAATTTGATTCCCCGGAATCCGCCACTGCAATATAATAATTAATATTTGAGCACTAATTTGATGTTTTGTATTCATTCATTAATTAATATAATATGCAATTAAAATTTCTGTTTATCAAATTTTATTTGTAAACATGTATATATTACGATGGAAAACAGCTTAAACAAAATAATTACATTTTTAAAGTATTTGCATGTTTTATTTTTTAACAAAATTATTGATATTTGGTATTTCATATTATTATATTGTGTATTATACAAAACGAAATATTCAATTGGTAAACAAATTTAACATAATAAATATTTTTACAGTTGGCTTATGCATTATAAATTATTATCAGCGATTGAAATAAATGGTTTCCTTTTTACGGAAAACAAATGGGCGTGCATAAAATGCTAATTGCAGTGTTTATTGATAGGTACTGGATTATTTAATTGGGCTGTAATTATCATTTAAATATGTATATGGGTATACATAATTTAAAGACAATTTTACCAGTGGTAACATTTGTGTGCTATAGCGGTTTAAACTGGATTAAACAAAGTACATTATTAATTTTATCGTAGTTTCATAGGACAATATTTGCGTTTTACATATTGTTAACTCGGTTAAGTTTTGAATCGTGTTTGTTGGAATAAAACAAAATATCGAGTTGAAGATTAATTTTAACTTATATTTCAACCAAGTTTACTTTGCATAAGCGTACGTTAATCCACTTCTATTATTACATTTCACATTTTTATTAAGTTAGAGATCAAGTTTATAAAGATTATAATGAACAAATCTTTATATGTCGCAGTAAATAATTACATTAAACTTTTAAAGCTACATACTTTTATGTTTTTCATAAAAGTATAGTATAGATTATGATTTTATTATTTTTATAGTGCAAATCCTCATTCTTATATACTTGTGCAATGTATTACTAATGGATCATTCTCACTATATTTGCAAAAAACTTGTTAAGAAATATTGTAATATATAATATTTGACTATTAATTGTACTGATTTTAATTTTTTTGTGAAATTATTTTTTTATACATTTTTAAGCACGAAGAATAGGATTTATTTTTGACCAATCACAATGCTAAAAATTGTCTAATACGTTGGATGCGTTGCCATTATTTCTAAAAAGCAAATTTACAAACTGACATAATAATATGCAACAAACCAGCAAGACTTCTTATATTATTAAAATATTAATATTATATTAGCTTTTGTTGTCAATTTGTCAAAAATATTTTAATTATATAAAGAATATTTCTTTTCAGATGGTTTGATTACAGTACATTGGTATCATTGTTATAAATGGTGGCAATAGCATCAGTTGTTATCATAGAAAGTTTTTATTTTGTTAACATTCAATTTTCTTAGTTTCTTAAAGAAACTTTCTTGACCCATTACTGGTAATATTCATAAGAAAAAATTGAACCTACACCTCGACAAAGTTTTTGTTTTGAGTGCGTTCCACCAACTTCAAATACCTACAGACAGCTGTTTCGACCTATATTGGGTCTCATCAGTGTCGGGCAATTTGGTGTAGTGGAACACACTCAAAACAAAGGACTCTCTGAGCTTATATGCTCGGTTGGTAAGCCAACAGAGGCGAGATGTTTTTTTTTTATTTTGTAAATTTATTGTTTGATCTGTGATTTTTTGGTTTTATTTAACCCATTGACCAATGTTAATAATTTGTTACTGAACAACAGATAAGGAAAATTAAAAAGTGTCAGTGTAAGATCAATATCTGAAGAAACTGGTATTTCAACAAATAATGGAATGTTTTAAAATTTAAATTCTATGACCAAGTTGAAAATGGTAAACGTGATAAAAACGATACCATACCTTAACCCCAATTTAGTTATATGTTAAAATATAAATCGATGAATAAATATTATATTAATTAATTTCCCTTAATTACCTAATTAAATTAAACATTCCTTAACAAATAATGTTACAGTAGTATCCGGTTATAGCGAACCGTAAAGGAACAATGATTTGCTTTAAGCGATGTTTGTTACTTGCGAAAAAATTTACCAACTTTTAGTATATAAAACTTTGGTTCGTAGATACTATTCGAGTTGGTTTGTTTAAAACTAAAGTTCGCTATACCGGGTTCGTAATAAGCAGACATATGGTAGGTATGTATATATTATATTAAAAAATGCAATTTTTTAAATCCATAGATGTATGCTTACACTCAAATAAAAATGGATTTATTTACCATATAATTTTTCTTACATTTTTGGTCTACCTATTTGTTAATAACTAAATATTTATATTAAAAAATCATAAGAATTTGTTAAAACCTAAAATACTATGTATATACTATATTCCACATAAAAATCCCACTGACATTTCAGTAAGAAAAGCATTTAAATAATTAAGGGTATGTTTCTTAATTTAATGTTAATATTCTCTTGTTTTCTAAAAATAATATAATACATATATTTTTTCTGTGTCTTAAAGTCTTAATTAACTAATACTAGTATAGTACATTACTTTTTTATGGTTGATATGATTTTTACATATTTGTTGTAACATAATATTCTATCAGCCACATATACTTCATTCTTTAACGGAATGGACTATAGTAAAATCTCCCGGATTCAAAGAATTTTAGGTTTTATTTTAATAATAAAAATGATCAAATACAGAAAATTTACGTTATACTTACACTTATACGTATTTGGGACAATGGAACAGTCCCCTGGCTACATAAAAGGGGATAATTAAATAGACTTAATATAACAGAGGATTGTTTCATCATTAAAACTTAATGTAAAAAATATATCTTTGATTAAGAACCAAAGAAACAAAAGCTAAGAATGATCTTGTATAATAAATAATGCAACTAAAATTTTTGTGATAAAATTCGTATTATTTAATAAGAATGTGTTTTATATTTTATGCAAATTTATTTTTATTTATTACAGCCCTTCCAGAAATTCCTCCGGCCATGGAAAACTTATCAGACAACTACTTTTTCGGCGAAATTATTCTGGCCACATGCACTTCAGATATTGGCGATCCTCAACCAAAAGTAACATGGAATATTAACGGAAATCCGGTAAGAACCAAACGTACAAAATAAAATCTATTAAATAAATAATAAATAAATAAAATATTATAGGTAGCTATTTATGCTTTCCCATTAAGACTAAAACGATCCTTAAGGATAAAGGTTTATAAAGACCCTTGGGTGTTTCCTTTCATCTTATACACCACTTATTTGCCAAAATTAAATCCTTTATATGAAGAACAGGTCTAACTACATCAATTTTAGCTAATTATTTTTACACTGGCAAACTAAACAAATTGTTTTATACCTATTTTATATTTCCTTCTCAGTGTACTATGACAAACATAGGGCATTTTGCACCTTTTCTTTCCCTTGGAAATTTTGTAAATACTTTTTTGGTTGTATATGCAAAAGTGTTTATCGGATCCACAATACATTCGTCTCTCTGTTACTCATTGCATATAGGAAATTGAGAAATTTCCGACATTGTATAGTAGGTTTTATAAAGACCTTTTACAAACTCCCTGTATAATTTCTACCTACTTTTTTTTAACTAATACTAACATTTTCCTAATATAGGTACAATCAAAATATTTGAAAGAGCTTCCCTCCAAAACCGAAGAATTCGAGGTCAATAGACAGATTAAGCTGCGAAATAGTATAGTGCAAATGAATATACCCCTCGACAAAAAAATGGCGACCGATAAACAGCCGACTACAAAATTAGAAATACAGTGTGTTTCCACAGTACCCGGTATAAATTACACGGTATCGTCCATACGTACTATTAAAGTCACCGATGAAAATCAGCTGGTTAAAAATCAGCATCTCTATTGGCCAAATTCGTCTAGATATTTAAGTATAGATAAAGTTCTATTCGTGTTTATGTCTATAGTTTTTTACCTTATTTAAAAGTATGTGATTTTATGTGATATAAGTCTTCTTTTTCGGGATTATTCCTTGCTCATATCACACCTGTACGTTCTTTAAAGAGTCGTTTTATAATATAAATTTTGTAAATAAAAATATATTTTATAGTTAGAAGAATTTTAAATGTTTTTATTTATTGTTATTACATTAATAATAAAAAAACTGTGCTTTTAAAAAACATTTAGCGCTATTCCATTAATAAAAATAACGATGTATGTTAAAAAACATTTAAATTGGTTTTTAAAATGTCCAGATTAAGTATTTTTAATTCAGCACAGTGTTAAATCCGAATACAAATAACGTTGACAATATAATTTTAGATTTCAATCACAAAAACAACAAACATTTAATAAACATTTACTGTTGATATTGGCAATATTGTTTAAATTTTATATTCAAAATATTCATTAATCCAATTTTTATGTATAACTATTAGACGAAAATTGTTTTTAAATTTTTTAGGGAACTTTTAAAATACACTATAATATTTATTTTTGGTTTGATTGAAATAAAATAAATGTATAAAATAACAAAATGTTTGTTTTATTTTTATATTTTTTTGTTTACAATGATTAATAAAATTAAACCCTTCTAATTAATAAGGTAAGTAAAATTATATTATATTAATCAAGAAAAATTATCGTTACATTATTATAAAATTAGTGATGATGAACTTAAACGATATAAAATAACACAAACAACAAACAAAATATATACATATTCAAAAACACTACTGACAGCTTCAAAATTCTTAAACGTCAATTTCTTTTTCTATGCGTCATTTTATTAAGCAAAATTTTAAACTAAACATGACAACATTGCAATTGCTGCCAACTAAAATTGCTAAACTAAAATTCACTAAAATATTCAATTACAGACTTTGTTTCATACATTTAATGTTGGTACCAGTGCGCAAAATTATGACGTCATCGATGACGTGTACGTCGTTTCCTTTTAAATTTACTACTAAACTGTAGCTTTTAATAAGCAACTGTCAAACGCATTTATAACAAACTAGTGTTTGTCTGAAAAGTATTAAAAATATTGAGAAAAAAAAACCTTTAACGATTTTTTTAAGAGGAAATACGAGATTAAGTTTTTATCGGTTTCCAAATAAACAGTGGAAATCCGAATGAAGATACAAATTGCATACACATTTTCTTAATTATATACGTGAAAATTGAAAATATTTAAATTTAGTAAAAATAATATCATTATAAAATCTTTACTCAACGGCAAAAGCCCAAAAACAGGTATTCTATTATGTAATATATATAATATTATGTCGCCATAAATTCGTGGATATATTCTGTCTTTTATTATTTTAAAAAGCAGTTGTCGACGTTTTTTAATAAGGGGCCTAAATATAAACATGTTTGATTTTAAGGTTATGTTTATAACTTTATCTTGTGTTGTATTTCTTTAAAAATGTCCAAATTTAAGTATAAATTATATAAAGTAAAGTTATCATTATTGATTTCTGCACTTTAAAATACACTTACCAAATTGGAACCTTTGGCAAAACATGAAAATGCAACTTCAGATTAGTTATTGAGTTACATTTTTTATAATTGTTAAATAATATAAATAAATGTTTACAATTAAAAATACAATAATTCACCTCGATCACTAAATTGATTGATTGTACATTTTAGTATTATTTTAGAAGAAAGGTACTTTTTTGACGATTGTACTAAATTTGACCTATTTAAAGCAAACGTCAGCCCGTGACTAAAAAGCCCGAAGGCTACTGCTTATTTTATACTTTCGTATAATAACAAGCAACATTATCACTTGCATTTAATTTATTTATTTATTTATTTATTTATTTATTTATTTATTTAAATTATTTACATAACTTTTTATAGCCAACAAAACAGTTCTTAACTGGTACCGATAATAATTTCTTATTATCACTATACCCAAACAAATGGGGATTTTTTGTACAAAAATGACAATACGATATGTCATTTAGTTAATTAGTCACAGTTAGCATATTGTTCAAGCCACGGTCTTATATACAGCTCTTGCAACTTGGCCGAATTTTAATAGGAAAAGTGACTATACTACTGTGACAAAAGTCAGGTGGCGCTGCTATATATAGATAATAAAACTTTTTTCTACTTCCACCTTTAAAACGCCCATTATCGTACCTGTTTCCATGACACTAAGTGACTTTTCAAATATACTTTGACAAGTTGTGGCTTTATATCGCTTTAGTCACGGGCTGAAGTTAGTTTTAAGTTATTAGACAGTTGTCAAATGTCATACAATCGTTAAAATAAAGTGACTTTCTTGTAAAATAATATTAAATGTGAAAATTATTTTTTATCTTAATAAAAAAATACAAAAGTATTAAATAGTTTCTTGACGCCATTTGAAAATATTATATGAACGTTTGTACTGACCTTTTGGTTCCGCTGTAGTAGTGCAGTTAAGTGGATTTTATAAATTTTGCATGTGCCCATAAAACATTATCTTCTCTTTTAGTGTAAAAACTGCTTCTATATTGATTGTTAGTCTATTTTCAAGGGAAAATTTTTGATTTATTTAGAAACATTTGAGATTTTAATGCAGGTAGATTCCCAAGTTAAAAATTCTTACAAGAATACCAATAAATACAACTCTTTGTACCTTTAACATTTCCCGTGTAAGAATTTTTAATACTTTGTGATATTATTTTGCAATAAAAAAAATCAAATGATAAAATATTTTTTTAACATAATCATATTTTGAAGTTATTTTAATATTTTAAAGTATTTTTAATTATTAAGTTTAATTAAAATACTAACGGGAAATGTTAATGGAGAAAATTAAGTCAAAAATGTTTATTAAGTTGATTACTTTATATTCATTCGTATAGATGTTGCTTTATACCAATATTTAATTTAAATCTTTTAAATTTTTTAGATATTATTTAGATATTTGTAGTAGAAAAAGTTTAGTATTAGCTTTTCTAGGCACTCATTTAACTAAATTATATTCGTGAATAAAATGGCGTTATATCAAACAATAATATACTATTAAAGTTGACAATATAATGTTTAAAAAAAAACAATACATACGTGAGTAGTTCATTTCATTTCGTTTTATTTATTTTTTATTCCATATATGGTCCGTTTAAGGTCCATGTTACATTAATAAATATTTTCATAGATATATTTAATCCTAAGGCTGCACGCTCTACATTAACTTTATCCTATTAATGTTTGCTGTATTAATTCATAAATACAAAGCCCTCGAACAATACAACAGCTTTAGCGTTAATCCCGTAATTAAGCGGTCCAAACTCTCGATTAGTTTTTTTGAGAGGGGAGAGTAGTTGTGCAAAAGTTTGCAAATAAAAATGGTCTCTGCATGAAATAGGGATTTAATAAGTTGGATCCAATGCAAAGTTCATACGTGGCGGGTACAATGGGCCTGTTAAGTTGTGCTGTTATGAACGCGACGCGAAATGCATAATTCATTTATTATGCGTCGCCCGAACCTTAGTCACCAACATTTTAATACAGTCCACATATTGATTGATGCATTATTAATTGCAGCGGTTTTTGAAGCTAGTTTTGTTGTTTGATGACAAATATTGTTTAAATAATAGGGTACGTTCTTGTTCATTAGTTATATTTTTAATAATAATGTGGAGTCAGCAAAATATACGGCAAATATTAGCTTTTTAACATTTTATTTGGAGTGTTGAATATCGTTTATAAAAGTTGTATTTAACAATTTTGTACGAGAATACATTCCCTTTAATGGATGTATGCAGAAATAATTGTTATTATTTGATGGAAAATCATATTTTTATGCTCAGGGTGTGTTTCACAAAATATTAATGAATATAACAAGAAAATATTGTAATAATTAATCTTCATTAAATGAGAGAAAGTCATAGGAGATTATACACTGTTATAAAAATCCAATTTGTTAACATGAGTTTGTAGTTTGTTAATTTTATTTTGTGAAATTTTAACATAATTTTTTGTAGAAAACCAGGGGTTGTAATTATTTCAACAAAGGAAATTATTTCAAGCATTACGTTAAATTCAAAGGTTAGAGATTATTTTGTTTATGTTTAACAAATTCTTTTGTTGAAAAAGTACACGTGATTTCAGGGAGCCAATCAAAACATTTCCCAATGACAATACGCATCAACAAGTTCAACTGACTTCAGCTTTGCAACTTATGTTTCTGCTTACTTTATTCTAATTCATAACGTGTTCGTAACAACTGTCCAGAGTGTTTATAATATATTATATTATTGTTATTCGGATTCCTTATACCTATTTAACGTTTGTGCAAAGTGCGAAGTATCCAAAAAAAGATGCCATCACTGGTTTTCAAACTGAAATTAGGGGACATAGTGAAGTGAGTTAAAGTTACGAAATACATCAGTAAGTGTTGTAGTAGTACTGATAATTATATTGTACCGAATTTCTTTATAATTTGATGAATTTAGAATGGTGTGTTATTTAATTGTATGGTTCATTTAAGTAGGTATGTATTAATTTTTTTGTTTAGGAAATTGATAAATAAAGCAACACTTCTTATCAAAATTATTTTTATTTAAGTTCCCAATTTCCAAAAAATACTTTTGTTACTGGATCTACAAAAAGGTTTGTAAAAATAAGGTCGTTTTTAAAAAATACAAGAATTATTGATAGGATTTTATCATTAAATTACAAATTTAATTAGTTAACAGATAACAGTTGGTTGTAAGTCTGGTTAATATTTGGTTAAAATTAACAAATATTTTTTTAATGTGCACTTTACAATTGAATATTAGAAGAATTAATTTTCATTAAGTGAGAGGAAGTCATATGGGATTATAAGTATAAGAGAAATCGTACATTTTGAAAGATAAAAATCCTTGTTTTACTTTATATTGAAATATTTGTGTTTAAAAAAAAATAAATGAAATCTTTTTAAAAACATAAACATAGCCAGTTTTTTGACAGTTTTACCTGTTAAAAAAACATTCACAGCGCATTTTAGTATTAAGTCCTTGAAATGATGTTATAAATTTAAAATTCGCCCCCCATACGTACTCTACAGCATTTTTCAAACGATTAAATGGATTTAAGAAATTATGAACAAAAACAGAAAACAAATGTTGAAAATACACTTAAATGTTGGGTTATAAAACATTTTTACTTTATGTACTAAAACAACTAT